CATACCGGCAAGCACGTAAACCTCGGGAGAAAAATTGGTTGTATCTTGCCCTTTGGTATTCTCCCGGTGATTAAATTGGTGTTTATCTTGTGATTGGTTCACTCCTCTACGCGACGGTATAATCACCCTACTTACTCTATTACAATTCTTGCAAACTAGTTGTCAGGCTCTTTAGTGTAATTAGTTTTGAGAGCTTGTCTTGCTTGCTAGTTTAGTATCATCTAGTGGAGCTCTTTAGTGTAGACTTGTTGAGAGCTCTTAATGAGTAATGACATATCTATTATTTATGTCTAGTGATCATTACAACTAGAAATCACTTGTGTAGTAGTGATCCATCTGTCTACTATCTATAAAAGTCGGCATCAGGGGGCCGATCGGTCATACGATGAATCTAAAGACTGCTAGAGTTTTAGGGCTTCTGTTTCACTGAACGGTGCACTGTTCGCGTCAATATAGCATGACTATTTAAGAATAGTCTTATTTTCTCTCTTTATTAAAAAGTAGAAGCATCTGAAGTCACTATTTTTTTATTTCACTGAAGCTGAGTGAAGCATTACCAAAGGAGTCTAATGGCCTGTTTGATAGAGCTTCATATTTGATTTTAATTCTCTATGTAAGTTGATTCTTTTAAAAAAAGTGATTTTATGGTTGAAAGTAATTTTCTTTGATTCTTTAGCATAAACTATCAAAATCACGATAGAGAATCACTTCACAAAATTGAGAATTAGGAGAAGCTACTTTTTTCAGCTCTCGGCCTCTTATCATTTTAGAGAATCACTTCACAAAATCAGCAAGAACCACTTTGCTCTGAAAAACTATTTGGCAGAGCTTCAATCGTATTTAGCAAAGAATCAGCTCTGGGAGCTCTGTCAAACAGGACCTAAGTCTCTCTTTGACTGTGCTTCTCAACAGACTTTATAGCTTTGATTTCTCTCGCTTCTAGAAGGACAAAATCACCTAAACACATAGTTTCTCTAGATTTATACGTGAAGCCGTTCGAAAAGATATCCTTTCAAACAGAGTCTAAATATAATTGTAACAAGCATAAGCCAAAGTCCTAAACTCCGATGTAGTTTTGAAGTAAGTGTGCACGTGAGCTACCATTATTGCACACGGTACATCGCACCAGGCCAGCTGCACTAGCAAGCAGGACTAGCTAGGACATGCTTGTTTTTGGAGTAACTAAAGTTAAGTCACCACTTCTTAGTCACTTTTAGTTCCTAAAATACCAAACATGTACTACTACAAAAAAAGATTTATAGTAACACTCTTTTTTTTTTGAGATGGCTCTATATTGAGCTGCCCCAACAAATGATGATCAAACGAGCCGTCCCAACAAATCCATTTGTAGGGGCTGCTGGTATTATCAGATGCCCCTACAAATGGCCCAATTTGTAGGGGCGACTCTATATCCAGTTTTGAAATAATATTGTCAAGGAAAACTACGTTTGAATTTTTAAAAATTTGAAATTTTAATTTTTTAAACGGCCTCGGATGGACAAACAACAAAAATGAAAGTTGTATATCTTGAAAAGTTATGAAACTTTGTAGTTGCAACTTTTTGATTTGAAATCATCTTGTTAAGGAAAACTACGTTTGAATTTCTCAAATTTAAAAATTCAAATTTTGTAAACGACCTCGGATGGAGAAAGTACCAAAATAAAAGTTGTAGATCTCAAAACATTATGAAACTTTGTAGTTGACAACTTTTTTATTTGAATTCGTTTAGGGCCTCAAATAATCAATTTAAATTTGGTTTAGGATAATATGTGGGGAACCAAAATCCAATATAGACATGTGAGTGTGAGGTGCAGTGGTAGAGAAGGGTATGCGCGAGTGAGAAGTCGTAGGTTTGAATTCCCGCAGCCGCGAAGCGCGTGATTTTTGTGCGAAAAATGTTGCGACTTGCTTTTATTTGCTATTTTTTTTGTCTAAAATAGTGATTTATGGAAAATGATTTATAAGGGCGGCTGACCAACCGCTCCTACAAATCAGCGATTTGTAGCAACCCTTTCGTAGAGTGGTTGGCGAAACCGCTCCTACAAATGTCTATAAACCGCCCCTACAAATGAAAATGTAGCAGTGATCATAACTAAAATAGTTTAGTCCCAAGGAGTGACCATATTTTAGTTCAGTAACTAAAGGAACCAAACAGGGTCTTAACATAGTGCTCCACGTACCCAAAATCCAGCTTAGCTCCGAAGATCCAGATCAACTTGGATCTGCGGTTCCGCTTCGACCCTTGTCGACGGACCATGGATCCATCGATGTGTATACAATATTATAATACAGCACGAGCTGACAGCTGACGAGGGTATATCTTGACAGGCATTCAAGCTCGCAGTCCATTCCTCCTGCTCGTTCCTAGGGTTTAGGGATGGAAATTTTGCATAGAATCATCTGTACTACTTCAGTCAGGGCGTTCGTCCGTTCGCACGGCTTCTCTATTAAAAAAAACTTAGACGCCCATTCGCTCGTCATGGCCTTATCCACCGCGCCCGACTCCACCGCGCTCGTCTTCCTCGCCTCCACCCGCGCTTCGTGGCCGTCGTCAACATCCTCGGCAGCTCCGGCGCCCGGTCCACCGTTGGCCTAGTTGGCACGACCTCCCATTGGCCGGATCAGGAGGTCCAACGATGGCGGCGGCTCTCCTCCACCCCAGCTGGCGTGACCTCCCATCTCCCCCGTGGCCATCGTCGTCCTTCGGCTCGTGCGCTCGTCTTCCTGGCCTTCCGCACGCGCTTTGTGGCCGTCGTCCTCCATCCTCGGCGGCTCTAGTGCCCGGTCCGCCGGCGGCTTGGCTGACGTGACCTCCCATCGGCCGTCGTCCACCATCCTCGACCGCCGACTAGCCAGAACCGGCCATTCCCCCGCTCTATGCTGCCTCGTATGGAAGAAAGGTGAAGAACGTATGTTGCAAGCCTATGTTTCACGTGCTTTAGATGTTTCATATATGTATGTTGCAAGTATTTTCATATGGATGCTGCAAAAGTAGATCGAGGTGTTGCATATGCAATGGTTGTACATGTATGTTGCAAGCTTTTGTTCCCAATGTTTCATCCGTTTTTCAGACATATGTAGCAAGTATGTTTATTTTGGATGTTGCATATGTTTCACACATATGTTACAAGTATTTTATCTGGATGTTGCGTATGTTTTCGCAATAGTTTCAAGTGTTTTCAGGTGTTTTTACAAGTGTTTCAGATGCATGTTTCAAGTTTTTCATCTGCTTTGAGACGTATGTTGCAAGTGTTGCATCTGAATGTTTCAAAAGTAGATCGGGTGTTGCATCTCTCTCCTCGCCTTCTACTGCCTCGCCTCGGTGTCTCCTCCTCCCGACGCTGGATGGGCATCTGTCGCCCCCTCCCCCTCTTCTCGATGCTGGTGATGTTTGGGGTGGCCTGGGCCCCGAGTGGGCATGCGAAACGGCGCAAAAAAAGTACTGTAGGCACGGGTGTCTAGATGCCCCGTCCGTTTGAACGTACGGGTGCTAGCAAGCCCGTGGAATATTTTACTTCAAATTCGAATACACATACAAAATGATGTCTTGGACTTGGATTTCTATTCGGATATTTATTCAAATAGGATTGGTGGAGCTAGAAAATTGAGCCTAAAAATTGGGCTAAGCCCACATTGCCAGGTTTAGTAACCAACCTAGGCCCAGCATGCAAATGGACCTCATCTGCAACGTCACTAGACGACATCATCCATGGGTCAAAAACATGTGCAACGAGTTATGCCGTTTTGAAGCATCATCAATGTTTGTGACAAAATAGGCTCGTTTTAAATATATGTGACATTTCTCTCTAGTTTGCCACAGAAGGGGTTTACTGACACACCTGTGATGACAGAATTTTTGTCATGGAAGCGTCTCTGATGAAAAAATATTCAAGACATTTTCTGAAAATCACATAACACCAAATGTGTTGTAGTGATTGTATGATAATGGCATCCATGTGTGAGGATTAGCGTTTGATGGTGGCGTAGCAGGGTGGCCAATGAAGCGCTAGAGGGGAGAGTAAATAATAACTAAAGCTAACATCATGAAATAAGGTTGTGGAAGAAAGAGGCTGCCAATGGACCTCACTTGCACCATTGAGGTGGTTATAGGTAGGCATTGTGCAAACAATGTTGTTGAACAAAAGAGTTAGGGTTTAAGATGATGCTTATGCCTTGTTGGTAGAACTCCGACTCTAAAAACTTTTGAATATGGAGGGAGTATCTAAAACAGACAATTTTGTTCATATTTTAGATCAAATATAAATATTTAACGATTTTTAATTTTATTTTACAAACTATATATTTAACTTGGAGCTAGAACCTTGCAAAACATACCCTTAGAATAGGATTTAGAGCATGATATATGGATGGGCTAGGGATAAAATCTATATCTCTATCTCTATCTCTAATATTAAGACTGAATTGATTTTTCTATCTATCTATATCTGACTAGACTCATGGCCCATACTTATTCTACTTAGAACAACGCACGTCCAACAATAATATAAAGTCTGATTCCAAGGCACACCGATAATCGGAATATATGACGATCGTTGAATAAATTTATGAGCCGCAAATCGTCCAAATAACCGTGCAACAAGCTAGTATAAGTTTATATATTACAACACACTGATATCAGTAAAATTTTAAAAAGGAATATAGTTGGATCTAGATCAAAAGTAATAATTAACTTACATGAAAGATAAACAAAATATAATTCGCTCGTTAATATAGGATTATTAACACACTCGAATAACACTTTTTTTGCTGGAAAAAGAGAATGAACATATGTTTGTTCTCTATGGACTAATGAGTTTTTATTATTTAAATATATAAGAGAATTCAATGCATATCTGAATCAAATCAAATTAAATAAAAATTTCAAAACTGCCAAACACTCGCACACTCGGTACTCAGGACGTCTCACAATCTCGCCGGTCGCCGCCTTCTCCCTCCATCAAGAGCGCCCGTCCCTTCACTGCGCGCCCGCGCGCCCCGCCATGGCCGCCGCACCGTGCGGTCGCGGCGGCGGCACGCTGACGCTGGTCCTCGTGGCCCTCTCCGCGGCGTTCCTCACCTACAACGTGCTCATCTCCTTCCGCTCCTCCCTCCAACCCCTCCCTTCCTCCTTCCCCACCGCCACCGCCACCGCCACTGCCTCCCCCTCCCGCCGCTTCGGTGCTTGGCGGAGGGCGTTCCACACCGCGGTGACCGCGTCGGGGAACGCGTACAACACGTGGCAATGCCGCGTCATGTACCACTGGTTCAAGGAGGCGCGCCGGGCGCCCGGCGGCGGCGAGATGGGTGGGTTCACCAGGGTCCTGCACTCCGGGAAACCCGACGAGTTCGTCGACGAGATCCCAACATTCGTCGCCGACCCACTCCCCGATGAGAAAATGGTAATTTTGCCATCATCGGATTTGGGCTTCGCTTGTTTGCCATCGTACAAACAGGATTCGCTTGTATGCCATTATGAAACTGGGTACACTAGCTGGAATGCCATTCTCTTTATTTCTCTCTAATTTAATCATTTTTTTTATTCCAATCAAACTTTTATTCCTGTTTTACCCCTGCCCCCAAATACCTCATCCATCGTTTCTTCTTCCTCACAATTCGCACGCACATCTCCCTCTGCTCCTCTCTCCTCACACACGCACGCATGCCGGCCAGCAGCCGCACCAATCTCATTCTCACGGGGACCAGCCACCGCACCAACCCAACGCGAGCCTACCGCAGCACCACCCACACGCCAGCCCGCCACCACTGCTCTTACACGGGTGGCCGCACGCCGACGCCACGAAGAGCATCGCCCCGATTGCGCTTGATGTGGAGAGCTCGGCTCCTGGAGCCCAAGTTGACTCCCTGCAGAAATCGACACAGAGATGAAAACGGACAGGGAGAGAAGAAGCTACGCACGGCAGGGACGGCCAGCGACTAGACCAGCTCGGTGCTGTGCTCAAGCTCGGCGAGCAGCCCACCAAGGGCAAGCACGCTGATGTGCTGATTTGCTCGGGCCTGAATACAGAAGACCGACGAGGAGCCTGAGAACAGAGAACAGAAAGCTAATGAACTAGAGCAGAGAAGGAGCGGCCACCAAAAATCAACGGAAACTGATACAAATCACCATGATTCGAAGCCAAACTTTGTACAGATGAAATTCACCTTGGAACGAACCTATTCCCCAAAAATCATGGCCTGGGATTGACCCAAACTCCGGTTAATTTGGATCGAAGCCATGAACTCGAGTTTTTCCCCAAAACGAAATCAGCTTGATTCGTGGTGCTCAAGTGAAGGATTTGTCAGGGGATCACCCTAGCCTTGATCACACATGTCCTAGCATCGAAATCCCTCAAGAAATTTAACCCAATCGCAGCCAAAACCGACGACCAAAAATCAACAAAAATGGTTCTGAAAACACACCAACATAAAAACTTCAGATTTGGAGAGGGGAACAAGAGGTGCACGAATTTGATCCTTGCATAAGCTCAGGTGGAGGTTGGCGATGTCGTGCAGCGGAGGTCCGTGATTGGACGGCTCGAGCTAGGGGCGGACGTCTACTCAGTCATGGACGATGGCGCGTGTCTACTCGGAGGCGGCAAGCCGGCGTCAGCCGGCGGCGGCGCAGCGTTGGACGGCCGCGGCAGCGGGGTAGTGGCAGTGCGGCGGTGGGGCTGGCGTTGGGGCGGGCGGCGGCCTGGGGAAGGGCAGCGGCGGTGAGTCGCGCCGCGCGTGCTGGTGTCGGGGCGGCACAGTGTGCATTGGGGCGACGGCCTGCTGGTGTGTGTGCGTGCGAGGAACATGAACAGGATGAAAGAGATAAGGTTTTAAGTTTAAGGGCAGGGGTAAAACGAGAATTAAAGTTTGGTTGGAACAAAAATAATGATAAAATTGGAGAGAAATCAGCAAAATGGCATTTCAGCGTGTGCATCCATTTGATAATGGCAATCCATCGAATCCCTTTTGTATGATGGCAAATAAGCGAAGCCCAAGTTTGATGATGGCAAAATACCTATTTTCTCCTCCCCGATGGGGATCAGGTATATTGTTGCTTTTTTGCTTCGCGAAACGGCAAAGTTCGTCAGTTCATTGCTTTCTTCGTTGTCTCTCTCTGGTTTGCTGTTGCTGGTTAGTTGGAATTGTGGAGAAATGTAATTGTTCTAGTTATACGAAATCGAGAAAATGCCTAGGTTTCTCAAGGAGTCAAGGTGGAATTCCGTGATTTAGTTGATGTTTCAATTTTCAACAGGCACATGGAAGACATTTCAGTTTTCATGGTACCAGTTGACATCTGATTATCCTCGAAAAGAAAAAGGATATTTCTTTAAAAAAAATGGATAATTGAGTAGCAGAAAAGTAAGAACCTCACAGTAGTTCTTGGAGTATCTACCATCTAGCGTTTTTTTTTCCCTTTTTTTTTTTGAAGTGGCAACAGGGCAACGGAAGCGGAGAGAGTCCCCCACCTGAATTCACTGATTGCCCAAAGCTGGCCCGGTGGATATAACAGCTGTGCTACTTTGTTTTGTAAAAGAATGTGGACAAATGAAATGAGAAAGTAGTGAGGGCTAAGTTGATAGGGAAAAAACAGATTGGCAGCTAGGATCTCATATGGTGAAAAGGCTTGTAATGTCAGCCTTGTAAACATGACTGGACCCTGCTGATACCAGCTTTTCATCATATTGCGTCTGAAGAAAGTTAAAAATCATCATTGGTGTAGTAAGCCAGTTGCTAGTAATGATCAGCTGTAGCCATGTCACAATGGTGGCCTATTGTGAACTGCAAGCATTGCTGCTTTTCTGTATTCTGTCCATTGCTCATTATTCGTTGTTGCAAAGTAATTTGATGAATTACCAATTCGAGTTTTGTTCAAAAAGAATTAGCAATTTGAGAGCGTACAGGAATTTGTGGCTCAGTTTTACTACTAGAATTTAGATGCTGCTGGAATTTTCTACTAACAGTGTTCATCCTATATCTCAGGGATACATCGTTCTCAATAGGCCATGGGCATTTGTTCAGTGGCTCCAGAAGGCAGACATAAAGGAAGAGTAAGTTTATCTGAGAAGCAATAATCACCCTCCAGAGTCCAGACTCAATATCTAGTTAATTTCATACTATGTGCAGCTATATCTTGATGGCAGAGCCAGATCATATAATTGTCAAGCCTATCCCAAACTTGTCGAGAGATGGTCAGGCAGCAGCTTTCCATTTCTTTTATATTGAGCCTAAAAAATATGAGAATGTGTTGCGTAAGTTCTTCCCTGAAGACAAGGGGGCAATCACTAAGATTGATCCTATAGGAAATTCTCCTGTCATTATTGAGAAGGTGAGCTATTTTCTTCTTGAATGTACCCAAAGCATCTACTTGAAATTACAGAACTAATCCTATTACTTTCTCCTTCTTTTGCTAGGAATCTCTTGGAAGGATTGCCCCGACATGGATGAATGTTTCAATAGCAATGAAAAAAGATCCTGACGCTGATAAATCTTTTGGCTGGGTTCTTGAAATGTAACGTCCTGCCAATCAATTTCTTATTGTCTAAAGCTTTTGGTCTGTTTATGCATCCCAAGTTTTATGCTATTTCATTCATAATGTGAGTAGGTATCCAATTATTTGTTGTATTGTGTTTCTGGGAAATAGGTATGCCTATGCCGTGGCATCTGCTCTCCATGGAGTGGGCAACATCTTACACAAGGACTTTATGATTCAGGTTTGGAGTTCGGTTAATTATATCATGTGGCCATCCATATCAGGAAGTTGTGCGGTTCTGTTCTTAGATGATAATCTGATTCTGTTTTCATTTCACTTTTCAGCCACCTTGGGACTTGGAAGTTGGTGATGCTTTTATTATACATTATACTTATGGGTGTTATTATGACATGACGGTACGTGATTCATATTGTGATGCAGAACTTCAGGGAATCTGACTCGTGATTCTGTTCTTATAGCATGTTCTTCTTTTGCACTAGGGTAAGTCGACTTATGGCAAAATTGGAGAATGGATATTTGACAAGAGATCTTACGAGGATAAACCTCCGCCTAGAAATTTGCCATTACCGCCAAATGGTGTGCCCCAAAGTGTGGTATGGTTCTGCTCTGTTTGCAAATATTTGACATTTTTGTTTCAATATTTGTGTACCATTTCATTCGGATGTGAAACAATGTTCCTTGGCAATCTATTCTTTCGAGTACTAGTATGAAATTGTTAGTATATTATGGTACATAAAAAACGAAAGGAAAAAAGTATTATTACAGCCAATTAGCCATTGAAGTTGCAAAACAAGGAGGATCATTGAAGCACTTAAGGCTACTATGAGATAATTAAACATTTTGTATGTTTTATCACAGAATTATATAAGGCATTTCCTTATGATGAAAAGTTGTTTGTCCATAAATCCCAACAGTTTTCTTCTATTGTTGAGATTTCAGTGATACAGAACATGGCTACGATTCTTTGCTTCTGCCCCAGTTTGCTATACTCTTCAACTCTTGGAATAGCTATTAATAACCCATGCGATGGATTTTGGTGTTGTGCACAGGTGACACTTGTGAAAATGGTCAATGAAGCAACAGCCAACATACCAAACTGGGACTCTTACGCCGCTAATTAACCTTTTACAAATTTGACTCACAATTTAGTTTGCCACATATTTCCATTCCCAGCTGAGTTTGCATGATAATTGCCAAACATAGAAGATTTTTTTTTTGACAAGGGGGATTGCCAAACATAGAAGATGAATGGATGATACCGTGGAATGCATACAGGTTTTTACCCAAGGCTGCCGGCTCCTTACCTTTTCTGCTTGAATTTTCCTGAGAATGTCTGGCGCAATGCCATTGTTTTTTCTTTTGTCAAATCATGCACATCGGCACATGACACACTACTCCGTATGTCAAACATGCAGCATGACTGAGAGATGTGTGTGTGTTCTTCTTATCTGGTTCTGAACGTGCTTTAGGGGGAAAAAATGTCAGGCACTGCTCTTACAGACACAAACCTCCTGTGTACCGGTTTCTCCTGAATGCATAGTTTACTCAGTTATCTATTTGGAATGAAACTATGAAAAGTTGTGTTAATCAAACTCAATATGCAATGTAAGCCGCTTGCACTTTGAAGGTACCAACACGATTTGTGAGATACTTATTTGTTGTTATGTAATTATTTGTCTATTTGCTCTACTGCAAAGTTAAGTGAATCTGCGTCCGGCTTCAGAAACAATGTGCTCTTGGGTTGGAAACTTGGATTTGGAAGTGCGAAGTCTGAATCTGAACATTCTTTGCCTCCTGTTCTTCAAACTTCAGAAAATTAGAACTCCTCCATCTTGTGCACTGTGCAACAGCTAATCAGGAGTAGTCTATGAAGAAAAAAGGCTGGAAAAATTCAGGCCATGTTTAGTTCCCTCATTTTACAGAATTTGGCACTACGTAAAAAGAAGATTCCCCGTCACATCAAACTTGCGGTATATGCATGGAGTACTAAATGTTAATGAAATAAAAAACTAATTGCACAGTTTGGTTGTACTTTGCGAGACGAACGTTTTGAGCCTAATTAGTCAACAATTGGATAATTATTGCCAAATAAAAACAAAACGACACTGTAGCTACAGTGTCGCTACCGTGATTCGGCCGGCGCCGAATCGGCCGAACTAAGCACGGCCTCAGGTTTCAAAGAAGTGCAACGGAGTCAAAGCTCCTTGCTTGTCCCACCAGGGTCGTCGTCGTCTTTACTCGTCTCCCTCGATGCCAGATCTCACCTCCCCCTTTCCTCCCATGCCCTCAAACCTCTCTCCTCAGTAGCATCCGCCGCTCCGATGGAAGTCGCGGGGGCCGCGCCCGCGCGGGGCCTCGGGCGGCACGAGTACGCGGTGCTGGCGCTCACCTTCGCGTCCTACGCGTCGTTCCACGCCTCCCGCAAGCCGCCGAGCATCGTCAAGGCCGTGCTCTCCGCGGACTGGGCCCCCTTCTCGGGCGCCCGGGGCCCGCACCGCCTCGGCGAGCTCGACGTCGCCTTCCTCTCCTCCTACGCGCTCGCCATGTTCGCCGCGGGCCACCTCGCCGACCGCGCCGACCTCCGCCGCCTCCTCGGCACGGCCATGCTCGCGTCCGGCGCCGCATGCGCCGCGCTCGGCGCCGCCTACTTCCTCGACGTCCACGCGCTCGCCTTCTTCGTGGCCGCGCAGGTTGCCAGCGGCGTCGTCCAGTCCGCCGGATGGCCCTGCGTGGTCGCCGTCATCGGGAACTGGTTCGGCCACGCCTCCAAGCGCGGCACCATCATGGGGGTGTGGAACTCGCACACCTCCGTCGGGAACATCGCCGGCTCGGTCCTCGCCGCGGCCGTGCTCGAGTTCGGATGGGGCTGGTCCTTCTTGGTTCCTGCGGTCGTCATCGCCGCGCTCGGAGCTGTCGTGCTGGTGTTCTTGGTCGCGCACCCGAGCGAGGCTGGCTTGGAGGTGGAGGTAATGGAGGTTGAGATGAATGGGGATGGTGGGGAGGAGGTAGGGCTGCTTGGGGAGGATAAGAAAGAGGTTCAACGGAATGAGGATGACGAGTTCGAGCTGGAAATGGGATCACAATTGCCGAGAGCAATCGGGTTCGTGGAGGCATGGAAACTGCCTGGCGTGGCGCCATATGCATTCTGCCTATTTTTCTCCAAGCTCGTTGCCTACACCTTCCTCTACTGGTTGCCATTCTATATCAGAAATAATGGTATGTGCTCATTTGTTCATACATTTATTTTTGTATTTATCACATTAACAATGGTAGTATATGTGCTTGTTACTTGATCATAGTTCGCACTCAAATCTGATGGTACTGTATTTCCAAGGACTGGGCTGTGAAAATATCAGTCAATGAATTCTGTTCTTGCCAGCAATTGCAGTTTCATGTTTCAGACCAGATAGATGATTCTTATGGTTTCAATCAGTTGAATTGGTAGATACTGTTATGATCCTTAGATCATTGGGGGATAACCATTGCCAGGAAGATGGCCGGGCAAAGTCGGCGTGGAGGGAGACTAGAGTATTTGGGGGAATTAGATTGTTTGTTCTTTCTTCATTGCTTTTCTTCCTCTCCTTGGCACATCACCCCCCTTTATATAGAGAGGAATCCTGGCCACCTAAGGAAGGCCCAGTCATATCCGATCCTATCTCTAATTGACCCAAATCTAATCCTATCTCTAACTGATCAAATCCCTCTAATTGATCCTGTGGCCCCTGGGTCCCTAATCGATGCCCCATAACAGATACAATCACCAAACAGTCTGAATTTGTTTTTCTATGAAACCTTGTTTTATATATTGTGAGTTGGAACAGAGTCAACCTTCAGTTATTTTTTGGTCTCCTTTTTTTAAGCATAGCAAATCTGTTGATAATATGAACCAACTTTAGCTTGTTCTTAAGTTTATAATAAGATGCCAACCTAGAGGGGTGTTTGGTTTGAGGAATGGACAAGATAATAATAGGGTGATTCCACTAAAATCATAGGAATGAACTCATGATGCATTACCTCATCTAGAGACAAGAATGAGGTTCCACAAACCAAACACCCCATTACTGTTGATAACATTCTTTTGCTTGCATGTTGAACTGTTTTAATTGGTGATCGAAATTTCAAATGAATTGTACTTGTGTACATCTATTATGATGGGTGCCTAATTTTCTTGCTAGAGATAGTAGAGTTTGGCACGAGTAACTTTCAACATACCTGTAGTAGAGTTTGGCATGAGTAACTTTCAACATACCTGTCCTTCCATTCCAAGGTTAAATCTTGAAATGTATAACTTCAGAAATTAGAGGATTGCTTTTGCTTGGATGTATTGCTTCTGTAGAATTCATTTGTGGAGTATAGTCATTTTCAATTTAGCATGAAACGTCATGGAGTTGTTACTTTTGCTTGATGCCAACCTATTTTTAATTTTGCAGCCGTAGCAGGTCAGTTCTTGTCACACAAGGCTTCAGGAATTTTATCAATTGTATTCGACATTGGAGGCGTCTTAGGAGGGATTTCAGCTGGTTTTCTTTCGGATGCCATAGGTGCCCGTGCAATAACATCAGTTCTGTTCCTCTTGCTGTCAATCCCAGCACTCATTGTGTACCGGACATATGGAAGCATATCCATGCACCACAACATTGGTCTCATGTTCCTCTCTGGTTACTTTGTGAATGGTCCATACTCTCTCATCACCACAGCTGTAGCAACTGATCTTGGCACCCAAGACGCGATCAAGGGAAATTCACGGGCGCTGGCGACAGTTTCTGCGATAATTGATGGCACTGGTTCTGTTGGTGCAGCTCTGGGCCCCTTGCTTACGGGTTACATTTCAACTAGAGGATGGAATAGTGTATTTTTCATGTTGATTGTTTCCATATCACTTGCCATCCTGTTTTTGATACGGCTGGCAAAGGATGAGATAGTAACCAAGCTTAGCACATGAAATTAAAGTAGTACTAATATATGTTGAATTGGGGATGCTTCAGATGTCAGATTGTAGGTACTTAGCAGGAGCTTAGTTAGGCCATTTCTTGGGTCATGTATTTAGATTGGTTGTTTGTTGTTACCAGTAGACATGCACGTGTCTATAAAAAAATAATAAGCAATAGAGTAATAGTAATGTTTTTTTCAACAATTCTTCATCATCGTCCTCCCCCTTGTCATGTTCATCTTCAGAAAACTGCAATGAGAAAATAGATGCATTTAAATTTGTGAAAATATAAAGTTTCATATTAAAAACTCTAATGCTAATCCTTATGTGCTCAATGCAAAGGCATATTTATAGTATAGAACATAAAATTCATTTTAGAACCTGTGATCATTCGGTACAAAATATTTAAATTGCTTCTTAATTTCAAGATGGTCAAATCCTAGAAACAGACCTAGAGCAATTTTAACTATTGCATCAAGAAAACACGCCCTGCAATCGAATACTCCTAGAAATGCTTTGGCACCGGTTAGACTATGAGACTGTGATCTACTCCCTCAATTCCAAATTTGAAGACGTTTTAGCTTTTCAAGATGTATTATTTTTATTATGTATGTAGACACAGTATATATCTAAATGCATAGCAAAAACTATGTATCTAGGAAAGACAAAACGTCTTATAATTTGGAATGGAGGGAGTACCTAAAAACATGAAACCGATTCTTCCCAATTGCAGTAGTTGAGCAACCTATCAACCCAACCATCATACCCCAATCATCAAAGGGGATGCCAAATTAGTGCGGGAAGGGCCCATCGAGCGTACGAGAAGCCGGGAAGGGGCCACCAAGCGTGGGAGAAGCCTCGATGGCGAGCGACGCTGGTTATCCAATAGTAGTGACCTAAGTTTCTAGGATAGAAAGCGACTAAATTTGAAGAGGAAACGTTGGAGATGTTTGTTTGCCCAATAATAGCTATATTTAATTTTACAAAATGTTTTAGCTCGACACTTGGAGTTGCTCTTAGCAGGTTAGCTCAAGGGGGCCGGTAACGATGCCAAGATGACCTAGTAGTATAAGACCGGAACTTAGCCGTCACCCGGCTACTGGATATGAAACCTAGGAGGATAAAACAGTGCATACTCCTCATGTATCACAAGGACTCCGATCTGACGTGGCTACAAATCCGCGGATAGATATCTACATGATATAAATAGCTAGATATTGTATGGGGATAATCAGCATCACATTGCTTAGGAAACCATAGACAAATATTGCAGTAACTCTTTTCCTTCGAGATAATACAAGAAATAAGCATCGACATTCACTGATATGTGGGGCTATTATCCGAACAGGGACCGAACCATGATAAAATCCTCGATTGTTCTTTGTTGCGGACCTTCACTGATATGTGGATTCCTACCAAACCACAATTTCTGCCGGAACAAAGCATTGACATTTATAATGTCATGTCACTTCTGTAACTAAGTAAACTTACTCGTTGGATCACGTGAAAAATACATCAAGCCCATGGATTTTGACGGCAATCAAGTCCTCTTGCAATTACACTACAACTATGAAAGGCTTTATTTTGGAGTTGTATTGCAATATTTGCATTATTAGTGCTAGATTATGAATTGAGAAGTAAAGAGATACTCCATAGATATCAAAACTAAATGACCCATGAGTTTGTTATTTGAGGGCGTGCTCCTAATATATCAAAATTAATTTAGTCTTATCCATGTTGTCAGCATGTTGGTTCAACGATTTCTGATTATTAATTTTCTTCATAACTCAAGCTTGATGCATTATTCATAGTTTATTCAAGATTCCTAAACATTTATATTTGCTATACAACTTTGTTTTAATACAATACTATGGATTTGATTGAGGATACTTGACATTAATATGCACTCCGGCTCTATATCATGTGTCCTATAAATAGAACTGCACAGTGCAAACATGACTCACAACATAAGCTGTAGTGGTACATGATGTCTCCAAAAGTAATGCTTCAACTCGTGGTTTTTTCTTTAGTCTTTACCATGTTTACCGCTCATCAAGCTCGGGGTGAGAAAGACTGTTATCAACAGAGAGATTTAGTTAAGCGCGACTGTGACAAAACCATCAAAATTAATGAGCCCTACAAGCCTCCAACTGCTGAGTGCATTGGTGCTGTCAAACTATCTGACATGGTTTGCATTTGCCGTATTCTCACCCCTGACGACGAGAAGGAAATAAGCGTACCTAAGCTTCTTCGTCTTGCAGAGGAGTGCAATAGACCAGTGCCAGTGGGAAGTAAATGTGGATGTAAGTATTTGATAGTATTCATGTTCTTATTATTACAAAAATGTTTGGTACAATATAGATGTGAAATCTGATATGAACTTTGTTTCTTAGCTCAAACCGTTGGACATTGACTATATATCCCTCACTACCAAGGGCAGATCTATGGGAGTTCATGATGCAGAAACCCAAGGAAGAATAATAAGAATAACCTTGTACTTTGTTTGCTTTCATGCCATGCTTTATTCATGGCAAAGTAATGAATAAAAATGTTATAAGTGTTTCTAAATAAATGAATTGCAGCAACCGTACAATAACTTTATAGGTGGATGCAGATTGGTCCAGCAAAATATGTCACTTTGACTTTTCACAAGTCAAATATTTTTAATTTTGACCGAATTTATTGAGAAAGTACATAACATCTAGACAAAAAATTAATTCCATTAACCACCATAAATATATTTTGAGAGTGTATTTATTTGATATTATATATGTTAATTTTTAAAAGCTTGATCACAATTAAAAACTTAACTTAGAACAAATCTAAAAGTAACATATAATTTGTAAGGTGAAGTTAAATACATGACCACCCTCCCGCGCGTCTCGCTCTCCCTCCTGCACCGTACCAGTGCCGAAGACGAAGCAGACGACAACGGTGACTAGGGTTCCAGCGACCTTCCTCTCCGGCCTCTCCCCCTCTTTCTTCTCCAATTCCGGCGGCCATAGAAGGGGGTTCGGGGGGAGGCAGGCTGACCAGGAAGTGGGGACGGCGGCGGGCAGCTTTAGGGCCTTGGCAGCAGTGGAGGCGGTCGGGCCATGGAGGGGCGGGGGCGTCCCGTCGAGCTCGCCGGCGCCCTACCCTGTGCTTAGCATACGAAATTAAAGTAGTAATATATGTTGAATTGGGGACGTTTCAGATGTCAGATTGGTACTTAGCAGGAGCTTAGTTAGGCCATTTCTTGAGTCATGTATTTACATTGGTTGTTGTCACTAGTAGACATGCACGTGTCTATAAAAAAACTAATAAGCAATAGAGGAATAGTAATGTTTTTTCCCACAATTCTTCATCACCGTCCTCCCCCTTGTCATGTTCATCTTCAGAAAACTGCAATGAGAAAATATATGCATTTAAATTTGTGAATATATAAAGTTTCATATTAAAAACTCTAATAATGCAAATCCCTCTATGCTCAATGCAAAGGCATATTAATAGTGTAGAACATAAAATTCATCTTAGAACTTGTGATCATTCGGTACAAAATATTTAAATTGCTTCTTAGTTTCAAGATGTTCAAATCCTATAAACAGACCTAGAGCAATTTTAACTATTGCATCAAGAAAACTCACCATGCAATCAAATACCTAGAAATGCTTCCGCACTGGTTAGACTACCAAACTATAATCTACTCCCTCAATTCTAAATTATAAGAGTTTTAGCTTTTTTAGATATATTATTTTTACTATATATCTAGACATAGTGTATATCTAAATGCGGCATAGCAAAAACTATCGGCCTATTCGCTGGTTGGTTTCTAGGTTGATAAGCCCGGCTGGTGCTAGTTTGTTGTGAGAGGAAAATATTGTTGGTTGGTTGATAAGTCCTGGCTGAAACCAACAAGCGAGCATGCTGTATGTATATAGAAAAACAAAAACATCTTATAATTTGAAATGAAGGGAGTACATGAAATCAATTCTTTCCAATTGCAATAGTTGAGCAACCTATCAACCCAACCATCATTCCCCAATCATCAAAGGGGATGACAAATTAGTGCGGGAGGGGCTATCGAGCGTGCAAGAAGCCCCGGTAGCGAGCGACACTGGTTATCCAATAGTAGCGACCTAAGTTTCTATGATACAGAGCGATCAAATTTGTTGAGGAAACATCAAAGATGTTTTTTTTGCCCAATAATAGTTATATTTAATTTTACAAAATGTTTTAGCTAGACACTTGAGTTGCTCTTAGCAGGTTAGCTCAAGGGGCTGGTAATGATGCCAAGACGTCCTAGTAGTATAAGACCGAAACTTAGCCATCACCCGGCTATTGGATATGAGGAACTGGAGGGATCGAAGGCCAATCTCTACTGAAATATATTAAAAGCATAAACAACAAGAGTACAGGGCAGACAAGAGGGTTCAAGAAACAAAAAAGGAAAGAAAGAAAATGAGGCAAATTACACAAGCTGCTCTAGTCATTCAGAAATAAGGGGGAAATGCTTCTTTTTCGCGCGCAGGATAACCCACCCGAAGACTTCTTTGAAGCCATGTTTGCAGCGATTAAGCGAGATTGCTTCTCCTCTAAAGATGAGACTGGTTCTGAATGACCAAATGCTCCAGCACATAAGGATGATGACATCCATGAAACACTACGGGATACACGAGAGCCCAAAAACACTAGGCAAAACGTTTGCCGAGTGTTACACTCGGCAAAGGTTTTATTGGCAAAGAGCTGTTTGCCGAGTGTAAAACGTCGGGCACTCAGCAAAGACTATGCCGAGTCAAAAAAAAACACTCGGCAAATATTTTTTGGAAAAAAATATAAAAAAAACAAGTCCCGTCGCCGCCGCCACCACCACGCCCCGCCGCCGCCACCACCACCACAGCCGCCGGCCACCACCACCACCACCACCACCACGCCGCCCCGCCGACGCGCTCCTCCCTGCCGGATCCGCCATCGGAGGGCACCTCCCCACCGGATCCGCCGCCTCCACGCTGCTGCTCCCCGCCGGATCCTCCCGCCGCCGCCGTGGATCTGATCACCGACGAGGGAGAGAGTGAGGGAGATGAAGAGAGGAAAAGAGAGGGAGATGGGGAGAGCTGACCTACCTCGGACCCACGCCGGTTGCCGCAACCCCATCATCGCTGGATCCAAGCCCCAGCAGCCGGATTCGACGCATGCCACCGTCGCGAGGCCCACCCGCCGTGGATCCGCCACCGTGGAGCTCCCCTTGGCCCTCCTCGCCGGATCCAATGCCACTAGAGCTCGGACCACCCGCCGTGGATCCGTCGGCCTAGAGCTCGCCTTGGCCCTCCACGCCGACGGGGGAAGAAGGAAGGGGAGGGGTGCCCACCGAAGAAGAAGAAGGGGGAGGGGAGGGACGCCCGCCGGGGAAGAAGAAGGGAAGGGGAGGGGCGGGCAGCCATGGGGGAAGAAGGAGGGGGGGCGGGCCGCATGGTGGGGAAGAAGGGAGGGAGGGGGGCGGGCTGCCTCACGGGGAAGAAGGGGGGGGGGGCTGCCCATGGGGAAGAAACGGAGGGGAGGAGCGCCCGTCGGGGAAGAAGAAGAAGGGGGGGGGGGGGGGGCCATGCGGTGGGGGAAGAAGGGAGGGAGGGGGGGGTGCACGGGGGGGGAAGAAGGAGGGACGGGCCGCATGGGAATCAAGAAGGGGGAGGGGGAGGGGCGTCCGCTGGGGCCAGTTAAAAAAGGATTTTTTTCCTTTGCCGAGTGTCCTAGATCTGGGCACTCGGCAAAGTTTTTTTTTTATTTTTTTCTTCTCCTTCTTTTTCAGAATTTTTTTTCCCTTTGCCGAGTGTCCTTGATCTGGGCACTCGGCAAAGTTTTTTTTTCATTTTTTTTCTTCTCCTTCTTTCTCAAATTTTTTTTTGCTTTGCCGAGTGCCCTAGATATAGGCACTCGGCAAAGTTTTTTTTATATTATTTTTCTTCTTCTTCTTTCCCAGAAAAAAGATTTTATTAATTTTACCCCCTATGTGAGTTTTGGTGTATTGATGACATCCAAATTAGGGACTAATGTGATCTTAATGAGATATGTCGCAGCTATTAGTCCCGTGAAAGAATCAAAGAGTTCGTAAAGCAGAAATGGTATCCCTCAATTTTTGAAGTTGTAAAGGTGGATGAACTCAAAGCTCTCTCCAAAGGTTTTATTTTTGCTTTTGAGTTTAGGATCCGCCGGGCACTATAAAGAGGGATGCAATTTTAGTTGGTCTGAGAAAGATAGAGTGCTCAAGCATAATATTTAAATCAAAAGAGAGACACTCTAGCACTTCACGAGCACATAAAATAATTTTCTGTGACTGTCGGTGTTAGAAGTCCCGACGTAAGCCGGAACTTTCGACAGTCGAAAGTCACGACTCTTGCCGGAAGTTCTGACTCCCAGTCACTTAGCCTGCGCGGTGACTGTGGACGTCGGAAGTCCCGACGTGAGTCGGAACTCCCGACAGTCGGAAGTCCCGACCCAAGCCGGGAGTCCTGGCATCGGTGGTTCTGCTGGCCTGTTGTCTGTGCTCGTCGGAAGTCCCGACCCATGTCGGGAGTCCCGATACCTGTTGCGGGCTGGCTGGATGTTTAACTGCGCACGTCGAAAGTCCCGACGTTCGTCGGAAGTGCCGACCGTCGGAAGTCCCGACGTTTGTCGGGAGTTCCGACACTGACCTACACGCGCGGACTTCTAGCCCTATGTGAACAGTGTTTTCTGTTAACGTCGGAAGTCCTGAGATCTACGTCGGAACTTCCGACGTAGATCTAAACGGTTAGATTTTCACTTGGAGTATAAATACCCCTCTCTTTACTTCTAACCGTGACGGACTCATAAACAGCTGACCCACTTCGTGCTCAACAGCTCCCAAGCAACTAAAGCTCTCCTCTCCTTCCCCTTGCTCTAATCTTCGATTCCCTTAGGGTTTTGAGTGAAAGGAGAGTGAATTCAGTGAGAGCATCACTTTGAAAGCTTGAGCACTTGATTTCTTCATCAAGCCGATTGATTTTGCGTCTATTACTCTTAGGGCTTTGCCTCTAGCCGGCTATGTGTTGCCCAAGCGCTTCCATCTTGTGGAAGAGCCTTGGAAAGTTTGTATCACCCTTCGATTTCTTAGTGGAAAGCTCAAGTGACCCTTGTGGTCGCTTTGAGAGAGGCAAGGAGGTGGAATAGACTCCGACCTTGGTGGTCACCTCAACAACGAGGACATAGGAGCTCCTTTGTGGGGTTGCCGAACCTCGGGATAAATCCTTGTGTCCCGTGTGCTTGTTGTTGTTATTGTGATTGCTTGAGATTACTTGTATGTGTTTGTCTCTTTGTCTCCCAAATCTCCATTTTAGGGTTTGGATTCGATCTACGGTTTGGAGGCATTACAGCGTCAAGGAAGTTACCCAACATCTTC